ATATAAAAAACCAAAAAAGTTCAGACGGACCCTGATAATAAACACCCCGGTGTGAACTAGTTTTTAGTATTAGGGGGGAAAACCCACAAATGGTAGGTTGATTTTTAAATTGTTTTCTAAAGGGGATCAATTAAAAATCAAATTGGCCAATCTGAAATTTTCTGAAATTGGAGATGGACGCCTGTTTTTAGTATTTGGGGAACGTTTAGTATTAGGAGGAAGGGATTAATGTATATATATATATTTACATGTGTGTGTGTAGATTTGTTTATGTTGAAACATATCCACATTGGATGTTTAGTTCCATCCACGCAAAACACCACCGCCCCCTGCCACGCAGTTCCCTGCTTCCCAGCCTGACACAGCAAAACGGCCCACGGGACACACAAGCTGATCCAACACGAGCCGAGGAACCGATTTGCAAATGAAAACCACAAGTTTACAATAAAACTATAACATGTAAATGAGCATAGATCAGCATTGTGGATACAAAAGTGTTGTAACAAAACTCCCAGAGATGAAGGGCATAGGGTGTCACCATTCTTTCTCAGGTGTTTCTTAGGGTTCAACGCTTTCCTGTGCACATGTCACATATCATGGATCTTGCTGATGCTGTCGCCGGACATTTTTTTACCTCGCGATGGTGAGTACCATCGTTGCAACGAATTCGCTACATGCGCACCGCTGCGGGGACATTTGCTTAAAATGCAGCCAGGCCCACTTGCGTCTACAAGACATTTCGCTACAGAATTATTTAGGGGGTTGATCAAAACATAGTTGCCGGTGTGTTATTAGAAATGACCTTGCGCCCGCCCTTGCGCTTCCTTGCGCTCTTCAGGGTTTTTATTGTGTTCCATTACATAGATTAAAATATGTATTTAAGAATTGATTGCCGCAAAAAGTTGCTCAATTCAAGGGGGTGTTCACTGATCCAGTACACTGTGCAACACAAACTTTTTTAGCCTTCGGAAGCAAAATCTGATGATTCGGAGCTGGAATTCTCAGAAGTTGAAGATTCTGAGGAGCTCTACCTACAGAGGAAATTTGATTCCCAAAACGGCCCTTTTGAGCCAGAAAGAAGCTTTACGGGGATGAAATTTCAAGAGGTATGTAGAAGGAGAATGTATACACATAGGAATTTGATTCCCAAAACGGCCCTTTCGAGCCAGAAAGCAGCTTTACGGGAATCAAATTTCAAGAGGTATGGTTGAAGGATAGTGTATACAGTATACACATAGAAAGTTTGATTCACAAAACGGCCCTTTTGAGCCAGAAAGAAGCTTTACGGGAATCAAATTGAAAGAGGTATGGTTGAAGGATAGTGTATACACATAGAAATTTTGATTCACAAAACGGCCCTTTTGAGCCAGAAAGAAGCTTTAGGGGAATCAAATTTCAAGAGGTATGGTAGAAGGAGAATGTATACACATAGGAAATTTGATTCCCAAAACGGCCCTTTTGAGCCAGAAAGAAGCTTTACGGGAATCAAATTTCAAGAGGTATGGTAGAAGGAGAGTGTATACACAGAGAAAGTTTGATTCCCAAAACAGCTCTTTTGAGCCAGAAAGAAGCTTTACGGGAATCAAATTTCAAAAAGATACCAAAAGCTATGGCGCTGTTAAAATGTTTTTTCCGGAGCCTTGTAGCGATGCCTGTCCAACCTGGCAAAACAACCTAAAGAGAAACTTGCGCTTACCTTGCGCCAGACTTGGGTTCAAAACATGCATTGCAAAGGCAAAAAAACTTCACTAAATCCAACCAAACCTTCTATGTATATACATTCTCCTTCTACCATACCTCTGGAAATTTGATTCCCATAAAGCTGCTTTTTGGCTCGAAATGGCCGTTTTGGGAATCAAACCTTCTATAAGGAATTGCAATGGATTAGGGGGAGTATGAAATAGATTTGGGGGTGGATTTCTGAAAATTATTGTTGGTATATTGTTGTAATAAATTGGGGACCCATAGCCCCCACTCCAAACACCAACCACCCAGCAGTGGTGGCTGGCAGCGGCAGAGCTCCTGCACAGACGCTGGGTTGCAGTTGGGCGGATGGAGTGGTTTATTTAGGGTTATGGCATCCCATTATGCCAATTAATATCACCAATTCATCAGTGAACAGATTACATTTGATGTTAAAAGGTTTGAATCTCTAATTTTATATACATATGTATATATATATGGTCTTATGGATATGTGGAAATGTTACACATATATATATATATATACTCTATATATATTATATATATACTATATATATACACTATATATATACTATATATATATATACTATATATAAATACTATACATATACTATATATATATATATACTATATATATAGTATATGTATAGTATATATATATAAATACAAATGTGTATACATATTTTTCCCCACCTGCCAGGTGAGGGTTTTTAGATGTTATCAGAGTTGTTCTTCTCCTTCTCCTCCTACTCCTCTTCCTCCTCCTCCTCCTCATCCTCCTCCTTCTCCTCCACCACCTCTGCCTCCACTCCCATGTTCACTTCCACCTTGCCAACTCTTCGCCAAGCTCTTCGCCAACTTCCGCACGTAGTGGGCACTGCTGGACCTCGACCTGGGACCTGCCAAGCTCAGTGAGCACCGCTGGACCTCAACCTGGGACCTGCCGAGTTCAGTGAGCACCGCTGGACCTCAACCTGGGACCTTCCAAGCTCAGTGAGCACCGCTGGACCTCAACCTGGGACCCGCCCAGCTCAGTGAGCACCGCTGGACCTCAACCTGGGACCTTCCGAGCTCAGTGAGCACCGCTGGACCTCAACGACCAGATAAAATGCCAGAAGATATGCCAGATAGAACGCCAGATAGCATGTCAGATAGAATGCCAGAAGATATGGCAGATAAAATGCCGGAAGATATGCCAGATAGAATGCCAGAAGATATGCCAGATAGAATGCCAGATGGAGAATGTTTGCCAGATAGAATGCCAGAAGATTTGCCAGATAGAATGCCAGAATATTTGCCAGATAGGATGCCAGAAGATATGCCAGATAGAATGCCAGAACATATGCCAGATAGAATGCCAGAAGGTATGCCAGATAAAGTGCCAGAATGTTTGCCAGATAGAGTGCCAGAAGGTTTGGCAGATAGAATGCCAGATAGGATGTCAGAAGATATGCCAGATAGAATGCCAGAAAGAATGCCAGAAGATATGCCAGAACATATGCCAGAAAATATGCCAGGTAGAATGCCAGAAGGTATGCCAGATAGAATGCCAGAAGATATGTCAGATAGAATGCCAGAAGATTTGTCAGTAACAAATCAATAAATGTCATGGTGGGGATCACACGAAGTAAAGTAATTTTATATATCTTTAGAGATATAATATATACATATGTACATATATAATAAGAACTTTTATATACATATACATATGATATATATATATATATGTATATATATATGTATATCCAACCATTTTAACATGTTACTCCAGTTTCCTATTCATCAAAGTATCTTCAAACAACTTTCTCCCAACCCAATTAATCTAAGCTACAACTATGTCCAGCATGGACACCAATCAGAATGAATGCGTAGGCGCAAAGCCAAGCAACCCAGCCAAGCAGAGATGGAGAAATCATGGTGTGGTGTGGTGTGGTGTGGTGTGGTGTGGGGACAGCGCAGGAGCCAGCCAAGCAGAGATGGAGAATGAATTAAGGAATAGCAAAAAATCAACAATGCGCAGTAAAATGACGCAGATTTTTTTCATTTTCCAGCAAAAAAAATAGCAGGCCAGGCACAAAACCAAAATCACTTGCTCACCTTCCATCGGTCAGTTTAGACTCTGAGTCTGGTAGCGCGATGCGTCTCAAACCTGCCGTTGTCATGGACCGGCGCTTGAAGCCGCTCTTGAGGCAATTTCATTCGTTTTGCCAACGGCGTAACCCCCATGAGCTGCGCTACTCGCATTGCAGCATCTCCTCAAACCAAGCCGGAGTAAACTTGGGGTCCAATCTGTTCTGATTGTTCCAATCGGCTGAAGCCTCTTTGCCGACAGAAGTCATTGTGCAGACATTCCAGAGCCGCTGGGCCAACAGATGGTCCCAATGTATCACCGAAACCAGCACGTAGAAGTGATGCCATCAAGTATAGCGCCCAAGCCGCCCAAGTGTTCAAAGCTGGAAGTTGTTTTACTTAATATTTTATTCCTAAGGTTTACCTCCTTTTCCCAAGTAAGTTTCGGGGTCAGCCTACCTATTTAACCAACATATTCCAAGGTGAAGGATAAGTTACTACAATAATTTCACCCCACTGCCATTTAAATATCAAACAAATTATATAGTTGATTGATGAATCTTGGGACCTGTATTTGAGAGTATTCCCTTCAGTGAAGGTTTCCAAAACAATGTGCAAACCCCAAATCCCAAATATATCCCTTCATCTTAGCTGGATCCACTTGGGGTTCATCATGGCTCATCCCAAAGCTTTCTCAAGTGGTGTAAAAATAAAGTATCATGGGGTGTCTCACTGGCAGATCTTAGAGTATTATGGTTACGCCCAGTGCAGCCACACCAAGGAACCAACACCTACAGCGCACATGTCCTGCGAAACAAGATGGATGGAGGACTGATCCTGGCCAAATGGAGGGGAGAGATACCTTACTGCTTACCCCAATTAATTTCCACAACATAGTTCCAGCTGAGCAGGCAGCTTAGGCAAATGTATTGTTTTTTCCCCTTTTATGCCTTCCCAATCAAGGCTGTGACGCCGACATGGCGCAACTTTGAAGTCCAAGGTGAGATTTCCAATCTCTTATGGTACCCAAATGGCACATCCTAATATTATGTGATGAAATTTTGAAATGGCACATCCCAAATAGACCTAGGAAGAATAATGGAAAAGCAGCCGCAAGCTATGAAACATAATTGGAAGGGACACTCTTGTCAAGTAGGCTGGTAACCTCACCAAGGACAGTAGCAAAAGACTAAGTGCAGACTCTTATTGGGACTGCCGCATGAAAAATCAAGCATTTTGCAATGCAAAAATTTTGCCAGTCTCAAGATCTATGGGGGCTGTTACAAGCACCACTGGACGAACCGGCTGCATCCCATTTAGGGACCAACGAAGCTGCCATCCCACACTGGTGGCAGCTGTGCTCCAATGAGCCACAGGTGTCAACTTTTTGGCCGCTTGGGCCTGACTCCACTTGACCCCATCATCCTCGTCGGTCACAGAAAAGATCACAGCATGGTCCTAGCATAAAACGTGAAACCCTTGGTTTTCCCATGTTTTCCCATCAAATTGTGAAAAAATAAACCATAACATCTTTCTGGGAAGTCCTCTCCTGGGTAATTTTCCATTCTCCATCGGGCTCTTGGGCACTGGTATGGTAGCAGAAACGAACGTTGTCGGGTTTCGCCTCCTTCGCTTGATTCAAGAAGTCTGCAAAGGTCCCAAATTTCCCATCGAGCACCCCCAGAGTGTCAGGCTTGGCATCGAAGGTCACTTCACATTCAGGTCGCAAAGGCTTGTCACGACTAGCCTCCCTGAACTTTCCCTTTCCCCATCCACATAGGACCAACCCAGCCGGAATTGTAACCTGGAACAACTTATTCAGGGAAACACATTTTGAAATAAACAAATGATTCACAACCATTAAACAACAGTTAAGAAACAAAAAGAGGTGACATACACACACACACATTGACATATGCATATATTTATACACATAAAAAATACTCAACCCAACCCCTTAGAAGGCCCAAACACTGGCTTGCCACTTTCGTTTCTGATGCAAGGCCCTCCATCAGTGACTGATAGGATTGGCATCCCGGTGCAACCAGAACCCAAACGGATATTGACAAGGGGAACCTCCACCAGCTTGCAATCACCAGGCTCAGAATCAACAATGAACCTGGAAAGGTCCACTGGCCGTGGTCGTTTTGAAACTGGCTTCCCCACCCCAGTGCTGCTGCTGCTGACCTTGCCTTTGCTTTGCTGCTTCAAAGTTTTGCTGGTTGGGTTCCTGGTTGTGAACTCCTCAATGAACTGCTGGAAATTTGGGTGATCCCACCATGCTTTGACCAAAGTTTCGGGAATCTCAATCGTAGCAATGACTCCATCCACCTTCATCTTGGCAATTGGGGAAAAATGAAAGTAATCTTCTGATTGCCTGATATTTTCCCACATACAAAAAAACCCTCACCACAACCCCACCTTTCCCCACACACATCGCTTCAGTGCTGGCGGTTCTGGCGGATGCTCCATGTGCTCCTTCGGAGGCTCCAAGTCCAACCTTAAAGGCCAGCATACATAGGGGTGTATGGAATAAGTACATCATGGAAATATATCTTATCTTTGTATCAAAAACTATGGCAGTATAAACGCTGACTAATTGTTTTGATTATCACCCCAAGCCTCTCCACATTGTTCACGGTCATCTCCCCCTTTTGGAACATGCCAGCCAGTTCGGATGTGAAATGTAGGTCAAACCATTCTTGGGCATCAGAGTCGTGAAAGATGGGGGTGTAAATCATTGGGGAGTTGACGCCCTTCTCCACTTCAATGAAGCCCTGGAAGAAATTCCCAACTTGTGGTGTCAGGTCAACTAGACAGATCCCGGTATGCGAACTGAAGTTTGCACCATCCTGAAAATAGAGCAAGTCATTGCACAAATAGCTTGTGGTTACACAACAAAGTAAGGAAAGTAAGCAGGTGTTACAACTGTTGCATGGCCTAGGATAGAAAATGTTACACCCATAAACATGTCTCAAGGTTCTAGGGCAGTTGCCAATAGCTTCGTGGCTGCATCTGACCCTATTTGGCTAAATTTCAGTGGTCCATGAATGTGGGTGTCATAGCTCCCTGGAAGTTCCATCTCACCAACTTTCTCCGGTGCCACCATCATTCTTGCTGCCAGCTGCTTTGCTTCAGATGAATTTCTCCTGGCACGGTTCAAAGTACAATCTTTCCAAATCCAAGGTGTTGGTGTGCCATCCCTTTCCAAAACAGTCGGGTGAGGAGAGATCAAGCGCCCAGGGTATGCCAGAGGCCGTTCGTCACGCTGGTCCTAGGTAACAAATTTCAACGGCAACTAGGTCTTTCTTAACTAGATGTTGCCCTGGCAGACAAAACTTGTTTTTCTTGGCTTCCCAAAAAATAAGATATGAAACATGATGCTACCCAAACCAAGCATCCACCTTGGATTTCACATCAAAAAGAAGTTGGAAAGTAGAATCACATGAGCAGCTCAAGTTGCTCAGGGTTGTCAAAATGGCATACTCTGTTGCAAACAGGCTGGTTCGGTTCTTGGAGTAGGCAAACCCAGGGGAAAGCATGATGCCCAATGACCTGGGGCCATGCGAGGGGGAAGCGATCACCTGGCCCATGAGCTTCAGAATGCAGCCAGAAACATCCGATTTGATAGCCGAAGGAGCCGAGTAGTTGCACACAAAAAGGAATGCCTAAGTAGTAGCTAAAAAGCACCCAATACCAGCACATAGGAAAATAAAGACGGAAGAACAATTTATGTGTTGTCATGTGTTGTCAAACCATGTCAAGTTACACAATCCCTGAGCTTGAGAGAACCCATCCATGTCTCCACTGTATCTTCAAGGTCTTTCAACATCACCAACGCGGTGCCCCCATCAAAGCGTTCAGGCCAGCACTGTGGAAACACCTGAACAAAGCAAGGTGGTCTCCAACACACTTTTTTAAAACCAACAAGTTACTAAAAGGTGGGTGGGCCCAGGAATTATTTAGTTTAAAACAACTTGCCAAACCAACCAGCCCATCCAAACCTTAGCATTCCACCATTGAGTGATAGCTTCCCGACTTCTGTCAATGCGTTTCTTCGTCCACTGGTCGCGCAAATGCTGCAAACGAAGTTCGAAAGACTGCATGTTTGCCTTGTATGCTGCTAGGCGTTTCTCATCATAGCCTATCTCTTCGACTAGAAGTTGAAATGCTGCCAAGTCCAACCCCTTCTTGGCATCTTCCAACACAGCTGAGCTCACATCCTCCCCCGGCTTCCCAGCAGGATTCAGGTCATTCAAAATGCCGAGCACACCTGCAGGCAATGAGGACCAAGGTGGTAAGGTCTATTTGTAGGCTTAGGTGGGGCATGAAACCAATCAGAATAAACTACAGTATATAATTCTATGGGCCCATATTGTTGTGCTTAAACAGATGTTTATGATATAGATTTAAAAAAACTATGCCCACTAATGGTGTAAAACCAAGGAACAAGCATTGTCCCGTGGAACCCATTTTTCATCCTTCAAATGGCATGCTGCCGCCAAATCCGTTTCGAGGCCCCGGTTTCCACTTCTCAGCACATCAATGAACCTAGGGAGAAACATGTTGAAAATCAACACCAACCCCTCATGCTGTGATACCCTGACCTATGTGAATACATCCCAGTAAGAAGGGGTGAAATAGTATTGGCTGGTCAAGAAGCCGTTGCTCCAAGATTGTCTCAACGTTGGGCACTTGGTTCACCAATTCATCTACCACAGAACCTTGGCAATGGGGGAAGTCACGCAAGGAAAACCTCCTAGTTATGGGGAATATATTTCATGGTATGATCAGGAAAAACTTGCTTTAAAGTATCTAGAAACATGCAAGTGCTGTCACTTGCGCTTTGTCTTCAAGCTGGGTTTTGTTCAGAGGCTTACGATCTCGCTGGGGGGTATTTGACCACTGGTTGTGAATCATCTCCCACAAAAGGATAAGGCTAGCCTCTGTATTTTTCAGCCTCTGTGACCATGGGCTGTTCTTCGGTGTCCGGCTGGATTTGTGATTGAACCCCACCAAAGCCTTCTTGGAGCTCAACGTATCGTCATAGAAAGGGCATCCTAAGCACAAGAACAGGGAGAGGACAGAGCATAGGTTTTCCAATCTGTTCTCAACAAGCGTAGGTCAGATATGAATAAAGTACCCCCAATTGGACAAGTCAATTTTTCAGTTGAACAACTCTAAAGACTAAGAACAAATTTCCTTCAAGTTTCCTTCCCAGCCAAACTCGGAAACTGTGTTCAGGATCAATTGCCTGCAGCTATCGGGCATCGCCAAGATGTTCTTCACTGCCTGGAATTTGGCACCTGCGATGCGATCAGGTTTTGCTGCTTCAGCATTCCTGAGGGCGGGCATGGCATGATGTTGAAGTTGAAACATATAATAACTTGAAATAAGGCCCTTTATGATGATGGGAGAAATGATTCAAAACCAGTCAGGGCTATGTCTAAAGGTACAAGGTCCAAATTTCCAATGATCCCAATTTTTTTTCATGTCAGGACACCTGTAGGCCATTGTTATCTTCCACTGGGTTATACAAAATGCATTGGACAAAGCTTAGGGGCTGCAATTCTCAAATTAAATCCCAATCAAGATATCAAGATTCCAACGTTGGACAAGCTCATTGGAATCTGCCACTGCGCCGCTGGCATTCAAATTCATGAGGGCAAATACCCAACTCAAAGAGGTAGGCGCCTTTCTAATTGATCCACGGACAGACTTCTTCATGTTGAAGAACCTGCACAGGCCACGCATATTTACTGTATATTGACCAATCTTGGGCCCATCAAATTAGTAAAAGTTTCTTGGATAGTAAGACTTGCAAAGTCAAAAAGCTAGCTTCCAGTTGAAGCATGAAATGTCATCAAGTAGCAATTCACCCTGCCGGTCTTTCACACGGATGTGCTGACAATAAATCCTCTGGAGACTGGAGCGAAGCACAGCAGGAACCTCCAGGGTGCTTGATAACCAAGCTAAGGGTGGATATAAATATATCTATATATAACTAAGTATCAAATTTTCCATATGTTTCACCTTGGGCCCAGGTATTGGAGATGAAACCTGCCTGAATCTTCAATTCCTTCGCAGCCACCAGTGCCGCAATTGCAGTCTGAATGCGGAGGGCACCCTTCAAATACCAAATGGTTCCATCTCGAATTTGACCAGAAGTTGGGAGAGCAGCCGACTTCAGGGGACAGGGAAACATATGTAAGAATCTTTGATTTCACTATCAACAATCATCTCTTCACAATCGCAACATACCAGCATGGTATCTTGACAACCTATGCCTCTTTCCAAAATTTGTGAATCAATGTTATTGTTAGTAATAGGTTGGCACACAAAGGCCATTTCAAAGATGCATATGTTTGGTGTTTCACCCTCATAAGGAAATTACCAAAACAAGTTTCCCCTCAATTAAAATTGTTTTGCATGGGCTTTTCAATAACATGGGGGAAATACATTAATAGTTTTTGGAACCACACCTCACAGCGTACCAGTACTGGGTCAGACTGGGACACAAACCCATCAACCGCAAATTGGTAGAGCAATTTGATGGAGGAATCCAAATTAGGAGGTTCACGAAGGCTCGACTCATTCTCAACTGAGAAAGTGTAGAGCGGCAAGCTGAAATACGGCTGTGTGGATTCCTGTCCTTATCAGATCCAAATTTGAAACCACAAAATAAGAACCAAGATTCTGTTTCAAAAATATTCCTTTCAATGAGGATCACCCAGAAAGTATTGGAACTAAAATATCATTTCAAGATTCCTGGCCAAACAACTGGCAATGGGTAGCTGGTCATATAGGCAACGTCATCGGATGACCCTACCGAATTGCGGATGAGTGCACCAATCTCTTCAGCACGTTTGGTCCGAATCGGGTACTGCCGGTGGATGTATTGCCGAACACCCCCTGCACCTAGGAAAATGGGTTTATGATTCTGATTTGTTGTAACCCCCAAATCTCAAGGTGGCCTCAAAAAATATTACCTTGAAAATTGAATTTAATGGGCACCTTTGTTTTTAACCCATCCAATATTCTACAAATGCCAATAAAAACCATAGGACAACTGGGTAGTTAGTGATTCAAGAAGCCCTATATTTCCATCCCAAAAATGATTATTAAATAGTGCATTGTTATCTCCATGGTACCCTTGATTTCGGCAATGATTTTCTCCATGACTGAATCAGCTGAAGTCTGGGTCATTTCCAAGGCCTCAGAGCTATTGATCACAGAGCTCTCTCCAGCCGACGACTCGAGCCCAGTCAGCACAAGCGACTTGGCACCATCAATGGCCATGCAGTCTAGGGATGCGTTGACAGGGCTTTCTGGAGCAGGGCCATCAGCATTGCGATCCCTCTCCTGAGATCAGTTGGCAACCCTGAAGGTTAGAAGGTTGTAGGAAGGGTTAGCAGGAATATGTTTCTACAAGTGGGTGCATGTATATCTACATGTATCTAAAGATCTTTGCATGCATGCCTGAATGTATCTATGCATGTATGTATATATATATATACATACATATGCATATATATATGTGTGTATCTGTGTATTGGACATCTCTATGTTGTTTATCAGCAATAGGTGAAAGTATTGAATTGAACAGATGATGAGTGACATTACAACAAAATAAGTCATTACAATAAAATATGATCATATGTACATACAACAAACCCTATTAAAATTGGATCATCCTAGTATTATGTGGGCATTTCCAATCCACATTTTGGTTTATATCTTGCTCACTATTTGGCAATAAAATTGCAAGAGACAGATAGGTATGCCAATGAAGATATGATATAAATATATAGATATAAATATATATATATGTATGTATGTATGTATGTATGTATGTTGGTTGTATTAAGTTATTGACAATATCATGCTTGATTATTAAGTTCTTCTCCTTTGCGTTTGGATCTAAAGAAAACATTCACCTATGAATCCAACTTGTCACTCTATCTTCCCACTAGTTGACTCCTCAATATGAAAAGATATTGGTTGTATGTTCTGTGACCAAGTTTCCAACTTGTCGAGTAGCTCCATGTCAGCATCACTACTGAACAAGTCAGTTTGACTGTCATCCATGGCTACCAAGAAGGATAGTGGAATGAAAGACAAATCAAAATCATATAATAATCCCAAATCCATAGCCATTCTTTATATGCAGCCTGCAGATCTAGCTGTGCAATTTTGATGAGTGTACTTCTGCCGGTTTCGTTTGAAACCTGCAGATCTCCCAGGGCCATTTCTTTTTCAGCAGATCTTGAGCCCCCAAATCCTGGCAGGTGAGATCTGCAGGTTTTGCTTTCCACCTGGTACTTCTGCCGGTTTCGGATGAAACCTGCAGAAGTCAAGGCCTCATTTTGGGAAAGGGACTTCTGCAGGATCAATTTTTGAAGCCAATGAATTAATATGCGGTGGATTTGGGTCTAGGCAGGGCCGATTTCTACGGATTTCGTTTGAAACCCGCAGATCACTGAACCATTATCCACGGCAATTTAATTTGTCCATTATCCATGGCAAAAAAAACAATAACCCTTACAGAGTTTCAGTCTTGAAAATGAAATCTTTTCAGACTCAAGCCCATTGACTACTAGTCTCCCCAAAGCAGACCCCCACAAGTTTGAAAATCCTTTGTCAAATGGCTCCCACAAAGAAAAAGTGCCAAAAAGGAACCCCCCCCCGGGGGGGGGGAGGGGGGGGGTTCCTTTTTGGGTGTTTTTAGCTTTTTGGGCAATAGCAGCGCGGCTGGTTGTTGGTTCTACTAGGCTGCAGTGTTGGCAAGGTTGCTATGTCTGCACCTGCCGCAAGATTGCAGCACAGACAGTCTGCACAAAAAGCTCTGGGTAAACCTGAGCAGAAACTGATCGTTTTTTCCCATCCTCTGAACCCTGTATTTGCTGGTGCTCATGGCCACCATTGCAAAAACGCCCATTGAGTGCTTGATAAACTTCCCACGAATTTGTCAAGAAGGAAGTGTGTTTTTTCATGGCTTTACCACTGGCTGATTTCAGGCCAAATTGGCACATATGAAAGCTTGCCTTCCGCACTCCTGGTCGTGCCTCAATCTTTTTCACCTCAGGCGCTGCTTGGCCAGGCATTGGATGAGAGACTAGGGGCCTGGTGTTTCCAACATCGAGGATGCCAAAGCTAAGTATGTGATTTATTCAGCCCAATTTGATCCCTGCTTGAGGGGTGCCACCAATGTTTAGGTTCCCCAAATCTTGTGATAGAATAAGGGGCCTATAGATAATTTACACAATATTCTGTTGGGCTTAAGTTGCACTATAAAGGCACATAATAACATAGATATTATAAATATGAGTATATCATGTGGATTTGCATGCTGGATTTTCCATGCCAAAAAATGGCAGAACAATGTTGAAAGAATACCCCGAACGAATGTCATGTTTTTGTCATTCTAAAAATTAACATGCATATGGGGGCCCAATATTGATTCAACCAAGTGACGCATGTTCGGTTCCAGGCTAACGATCCAAAGGGATGCTCGAACCCAAAGAAGTCATTGTTGTCATCTTGTAGCTCAGCAACCCACATGCTTAGGTCAAGGTGATGACAAGCTTGTGTGAGGTTTAGCATTCGCTTTGCAGCTGGGATCCTGGACCAGTTGCTATGCATTAAGCTACACACCCATGTGCATGGGGGGCTAAGCATCACAAACTTCGGACGGCATAGAGAAACATCTTGAAGCATCAAGCGTTGGTAGCTCTCCCAATTGAAGTTCCAATAGTGCTGCAAGTCATAGCTACGAGTGGATCTTCCACCCAGTGACCGCATCATGGGCCCCATTCGAGGGCAGCTATAAACCTCCCACAAATCACATCGGGAAGTATCCTCCAAGGTTGCCAGTGGCTTTGACATCAAATTTCTCAAATCTTCAAAGGGCATGACCTCCTGACAGGGTATACCTGCAGCTGCTGCAATCAGTGTGGGAGCATCCCAGTCCAGCAAATCTTGCCCAGGTTCATTGCATGGTCCAGATGGCGCAGGTGGTTGGCACAGAATACTACGAGGCTTCTTGGACTTGGGAATTGATGTGGATAGATCCCCAAAGATGTCTCCATCATCATCAGAAGGTAAATCCACTCTGGGCGCAGTTACTGGTGGTGGTTGTGGGTCACATGAACCACGGGCCTTCCCTGCCTTTGTCTTTGCATGCCTCTTAGTAGATGCCTTTGGTTTGGGCCCCTGTTGGCGTTTCAGCGGCACTACTTCCGCAGTACCATCATCATCCGGAGGAAGATCAAGTACCATGGCAAGTTGTCAGATACTAGCTTTGTTGAGGGAATTACATAAAGAAGAATTTGATCTAATTGAAAGTAACTTCATTGTTGGTGCCAAGTGGGTTTAATACATGATAATGTTTGGTTGAATGATTTGGTCATGTTTGGCTGATGTGACAGTTGCTCTACATTCTGTCTACATTGATCCACTAAAAAGGCTGGTAGATTTGTTGTCATCTGAAATCATGGCACAATCACCTATTGGATTGCAAGTTGGCAAACCCCTCTTAAAGATGACATGTAGTTTTCACGCCCGAGGATGGCATCTTCAGGTTCGCACTTCAACGTATGTCAGCTGAATGGGCTAGGCCAACATTCAAGCACCAGGAAAGGTACACAAGATAGATACTGCAGGCAAGTGCTCAAGAGAGCTACAGTACCTGCACGCAAACCCCAGTATGTGAACCAACTTTCATTGATTCAGACATCCCCATGCGCAAGTGCAGTCACTTGCCATTGCCACATGCCCGGCCACGACCAGTAGCTCGCCGGGGTCCCGGGGCACGCCCACGACAATCTTTCTTGATCGCCTGAGGTAGGGGGTAGCCAAGGATAAATATTACATTTGTTTATTATATGTATAAAACTTTATCACCACCAAGGCCTTAAACAAAACGATTGTTATATATTGTCATTGTCAAAAATCAACATATTACCTCAACTAAACAATGAGTAGATAATAAGTGGGAAAACCCTGTAACGGAAAACCTGTTAAAATAAAATGTTTATTGAGTTTTTTTTTGGCAGGGGACCTTCGCTTTTGCCTTGGCAGCACTCTTGCAAGGCTCCATCTTCATCATGAACTTGTCAACACCCATGGTAGTATCCCCATGTTCAACACAAAGTCGCCAGAAATCCCTTTCCAGAGCATCTTTCCAATACTTCTGGGGAACACGGGAGTAGAATGCGTTTCTACGATCATCCCAAATCTGTACACTTTGATCTTGGCCCTTGGGGCGCCCTGCAAATGTTGACCTTGTAGGCCACTCAGATTTGGGGGTCCCCTCACATTCTTGAACTGGGTCAGGTTCCATGCCAGGGCCAACAGTTTCAGGGGGAACCACCAAGACAGGTTTGCCCACACCCTCCATGCATGGCCCTTCTTCTGCAGGCTCTTTGCGCTTTCTGCCCTTCCTGCCAGAGACTGGATCTCCATCAGCAGCTCCTTCTGCAGCAGCCGCTGGGCGAGATTTGGGGGGGCGACCACGGCGTTTGGGGACAGCTGCGGAATCAAGAGTCTTTGACACAGGTTTTGGCTTGGCAGTGGCCTTTGGCTTTTCCATACCAATGGTCACTGCTCGAATCTTGCCCGGGGCAAATTTTTCCCACCTAAAAATGGATGTGGCCCTGGTGAAATGTTAAGTAAAGAACAAAGGATTCGAGGGGGTACACATAGAACAACATTTTCACTAAACAAAATACTAAAGACATATATCAAGTAACCCCTCTGGATTTGGAGCCACGCAAATTGGTCGGGGAGCATTGTCAAACCACCAGGATGGTGCTGCAACAGGTGGCCAATCTTGTCGGTCATTCTCATCCTGAGTTTGCTAGAGATTTACTTGTTGTGAAAGATGGCTAGGCTCAAAACTAGTGCACAATGTTGAAATGGTCAATTGGTGGGAAATATTATTTGGTATAATTAATTCTTCAACACAAGTCTCCACCAACTGTCGGAGAGCAGCAGCTGCCCTGGTAAGCCCCCAAGGCTCAGCTTCCACCAATCCTGCCGTTTTCAGGCACCTGGGGCCAGGGCAAGCTATATAATTTCAAATAATTTGTTGTGGAAAGGACCCTGCACAAAGAATGCCTACATAATAACAACTTTTGATTACAGGTCCTCTTGTGGGTGCATTATACCTTTCAGTAGCTAGGTGATTTCCAGGCAATGGGTGCGACATACATTTCATCTGAAGAATCTGAAGGAGCAATCTGCAATTAAAGTCTTCACTATATACACTAGATAACGGGTGACACCTTTTCCTGCCTCAAAAAGGAAATAGTTATTTACTATGTCAAGAAACTCTTTCTTGGTTCGATCGGTGAGGAGATTCCGGGGAAGTGCTTCCAACCCTTCACGCATGAAAGCCTTGAAATCAGAAGGGAGAAACACCATAGGTTCTTGGCTCAGTTCATAGCTGTTGATGTAGCGCTTTACCAGCATGATGCAATCATCAGGATTCTGGGTGTAGGTTTCCTGTGCTGCAGCACGCAAACTCCTAAGGACAGATAGTAGCAAATAATAAATAACACAATTGAATGTACTTGATTTACAGGGGCTATATTCTCCCAATAGGCAAATCCAAATGGAATCAGGCATGGGATCCTACATGGAATTAGCTAGACTGGAAAAGGGTCACCTTCCCTTATGTCAACCAATTAATTTACCATTCAAGTTTCATCGTTGATCTCCACCGGTGCCCAGGTATCTTCTGTCGCCTCATCATAGAGAGGAAGGTCCTTGGGCAGCAAAAGACCAACAGGAAAAGTGCCAAGAAGCAAACCCACCCAATGGGGATGGATGGGTTTGCTTTTTAAATGTGTTTAAAATCTATCTTTTTTAGGTGAGGAATTTTTTTGTGGGGGAAAGACAATAGAATTCTGAAATCCTATATTTTTTTACTAAAATGATGTTGCTTTCCAGGTTCCAAAAATCAGAAGTGTTGGGGTTCTATGTGGGAAACAGTACTGGGTCAAAAAACAAGAAACTGCTCGCCGAATGAATCGCCAGCAATGGTTGACCTCACGTTCAATCTTTCCTGGCACCAGACCTGCTATCTCAACACGGTATTGTTCCAAGTACTTCTTGTAGTTCAAGCTACCATGCATGACTTCAGCATGCAATGCACGCTTGCGAGCTGGTGTCACCTTTTCCAAAATCACAGAGACAAAGTCCTAGCAACGGAATGCCATGACCAACAAATAATAAAATAATAACAGGTAAATACGTCATCCCAAACCTATTTTATATCCACAAAAAAAAGAAGTAAGATTCAGTCCTCTTGCGTCTGGATGGATTGGGATTGACCAAAGGCTGCCACAGCCACACCCAGCCTTTGGTCCAAAGGACCATGTGTATGGCCAACCTGGCCAAAGATGTGTGTCACAGAGCGAAACCTCAAATGGCACAATCAGGTGGGAGCACAACATGACACTCAAATACTGATACTAAATTTCCAAATAAAATAACCCCAAATTTAATTTTAAAAAAATATCCCCAAAATCCTCCACCTAGGTACTTGCGAGAGATGATTCCCGATGCTGAGAGTTTGCACATCACAGAATTCTTCCCCTCTCGAGCGCAATTGTCAGTCTGTCAGGGTTTGGAAGTGGCTGTAATTCAATAACAATGACAAGCTAGCAGCCAAAATTTGACAATTCATTTAAGATGGATTTTATTCCATTCCAACACCTATCATCTTAAAACAGAATGGTAACCCTGCACAATAGAAACAATTACCTTCAGGATGAAACAGGTAAAGTCAGGTGGTAAACCAAAAACAAACAATATTTGGACATGTTTGGACACCCCGCTTCAACAACCAAATGTTCAGGAAGAGGAACACCTCTCTCCTGCAACTTTTGGTGCGCCAAATCCAAAGCACGAAGAAGGCATGTAGCCTCTGTCGAACTGTCCTTCGGCACATCTGGTGGGAGGACAAAGTAGATCTCCAAGACCTTGGCAGGTGGAAATGGAAAAGGGATAATCACAAAATGTTTTATTCCCCACCTGCCAGGTGAGGGTTGTTAGATTTTATCAGAGTTGTTCTTCTCCTTCTCCTCCTCCTCCTACTCCTCTTCCTCCTCCTCCTCGTCCTCCTCCTTCTCCTCCACCACCTCTGCCTCCACTTCCATGTCCACAACTCTTCGCCAAGCTCTTCGCCAACTTCCGCACGCAGTGGGCACTGCTGGACCTCAACCTGGGACCTGCCAAGTTCAGTGAGCACCGCTGGACCTCAACCTGGGACCTTCCGAGCTCAGTGAGCACCGCTGGACCTCAACCTGGGACCTGCCCAGTTCAGTGAGCACCGCTGGACCTCAACCTGATACCTTCCGACCTCAGTGAGCACCACTGGACCTCAACCTGCGACCCGCCCACCTCAGTGAGCACCGCTGGACCTCAACCTGGGACCTTCCGAGCTCAGTGAGCACCGCTGGACCTCAACAGCCAGATAGAATGCCAGAAGATATGCCAGATAGAACGCCAGATAGCATATCAGATAGAGTGCCAGAAGATATGCCAGATAAAATGCCAGAAGATATGCCAGATAGAATGCCAGAAGATATGCCAGATAGAATGCCAGATGGTATGCCAGATAAAGTGCAAGATAAAGTGCCAGAATGTTTGCCAGATAGAATGCCAGAAGATTTGCCAGATAGAATGCCAAAAAGGATGTCAGATATGCCAGAAGATATGCAGGATAGAATGCCAGAAGATATGGCCAGAACATATGCCGGAAATATGCCAGATAGAATGCCAGAAGGTATGCCAGATAGAATGTCAGATAGAATGCCAGAAGGTATGCCAGATAAAGTGCCAGAATGTTTGCTAGAAGATTTGCCAGATAGAATGCCAGATAGGATGTCAGATAGAATGCCAGAAGATATGCCAGATAGAACGCCAGATAGCATATCAGATAGAATGCCAGAAGATATGCCAGATGGAATGCCAGATAGAATGCCAGAAGATATGCCAGAACATATGCCAGAAGATATGCCAGGTAGAATGCCAGAAGATATGCCAGAAGATATGTCAGATAGAATGCCAGAAGATTTGCCAGAAGATATGTCAGATAGAATGCCAGAAGATTTGCCAGTAACAAATCGATAAATGTCATGGTGGGGATCACACGAAGTAAAGTAATTTTTGATTTTTAGGAATCCCATTTTAAGGAAAGAAACAAAGAAACAATAGTGGACAACTTCATGGACTTGTTATAAGGGCAGGCCACACCCCACACTATGCAGCCCACCATGTGCACTTGGGGTCGCCAGCATGTGGCAAGGGATTTGCTATTGTCCAATTGTGGCCACTTCGTCTTGGATTGATCCAACCCGTCGAGATCCACCTTTAGGATAGATGATGCACCCTCTACCCCACTGCCACTGGTCGAAGCCTCACTGAGGTGACACAACCGGGTCTGAATGGCCCTGTACTGGCGTACATTAACCATGTGGCTTGCCTGGCACTGCTCGATCTGCGCACGCTCATTCTTCTCTGTGGTCTTTCTGCATCTTGCCGAAAATTCAGCGCACTGTGTGCACCTGCAGGGCATGTTGAGAGCATTCTAACTAAGTATAATAATATATCATTTTCAGGGTGGTCCTATAACAATTATCAGGTGTTCAGGATGGACCTACAACAATTATCCGGTGTTAAGGGAGAGGCCAAATGCAGATCAGGGTTTTGAGAAAAAATCAATCCATCAATAAGCTAGGCAAATCCTGAGTGGTTATTTCAACTGGACCCTAGGCCTAGCCTAGCATGCTGGGAAAGTTCACGCATGCACAGGGTACGTCGCCATTGCTGGTCATAGATATCACGGAAACGGCGGTTGCTAGCAATTTCGCTTGACTCGATCCCTTGCCCTTCACAGTACATCTTGTAAAGGTCATAGAATGCTTCCATGGTATAGTGGTTGATGTGACGGGGCAACAATCCTAGTGATTCAATTTCATGAAATCATCCCACTATTTTTTGGGGGATTCAGCTGAAAAGTAGGGGCAAAGGAAACCATATGAATATTTTATAGTCCCAAGACTCCACCAGTTGATCCATCCCCTGGTGCAATCATGGTAGTAGCACTGACAACATCGGTGCTAGCCAGTGTGAGCTCCTTGTGCTGCCGATCTCCACCAAGCAAGGCCTTGGGCATCTCAGACGAAGTATCTCCTGGAATCCAAGTGCAGCTTGGCTGAGCGTTCAGGGCGCTTCTACCATTTAGCTCTTCATTTTTCAACACTCATAAACATAAAAACAAAAACAATAATATCATAAACATAAACTAACAAACACATTGCTTATAATCGGTGCTGTCCTGGGAGGACAGCGCCCGACATGACCAGTGCTGCTCCATTCAGTTGACCATCCACCGGGGTCTCTGCAAGTGGTTCAGCCTAAGATGAACAGTTGTTACATTAGCCACAGCACAGGACTTTTGTTTTGATTTGGAATTTCAATCCCCCAAGAAAGTAGCAACAACAGAATTGATTAAAGTTGCAAGTCCAGTAACTAGGTTCCAGTACATCCAATTGAAGAATCCATCCACTGATTGACTGACCGAAGTCTGTGGCCCATTGTACTTGCGCATGTCTGTCGGCAAGGAATTTGTTGGAATCCCAGGAAGCAACCTCTTGACCTTCAAAAGGGGTTTCAGAAAAGACAAGTTTTATTCTATGATTGACAAACAAACTGTAACACCAGGGGGGTGGATTTATCAGTGCCCAACTCAAAATAACCTTATTGTAAACTGTAACCTCTTTCAACCCCACCCTCTTCTCGTTGATCCGAAGCATTGTGCAAAACGCCTTTGCACACACTGGAACCCCACAGACTGCATAGTGGATGACTTGGGTGTCCTTAGATTGGCAAGGTGGGGTAGCTGGGAAGAAAATAGGACTGCCTTATGTTACATGTTTAAAAAACATTCAAGCTTGTTTAAGTTGGGGGTTGTAATTTATCCCAAAATGTTTCTTCAAACAGTGCGGAAGAATCTGGTGTCCATTCAGGATTCTTTCTGGCGAGAAGGCCAAGGATGAACCGGTTGAGGTCATCACTGCACAGTTTCTGCATCTTGGCTTGGAGTTCCTTGAGTTCACCAGGGTTTCGGCCAAACAGGGGTTAACCATGGGGTTTATATGGGGCGTACATTATTATTCAAAAGGCCAACCACCACTATATATCTCTATCCTTCCTTCCAACCAACAAGGGGTTAAGAAACATAAGATAAATTAAAGATAGATAATACCCTTTTCAGCTATGTCTCTTCCAAAGTTTCCATGCGGGCTGCATCAGACTGGAACTTCTTCACACACAGCTTCTTGCAGCAAGTAGCCTGCTTTTCAGACGAACTCTGCCTTAGGAGGGCCACATCGGGGACATTGTCTGTTATACTAAAACACAAAATAAAAACATTAATGGTGGCCTTGATTCTTTCCCAGGGGTTTAGTTTTAGACTAGGTCCGAGTAAATTACATACAGATATGAGAAGAAAACCTGTTAATAGACATTGAGGGTCTGCTCCTCCCAACGGGCTGCTGACACTTTTCGGCCAGGGGTTGCCACATACTGCAGTTTGGAAGGGTCATGGGTCATGGACAGGTGGTTGTCCACAGGAACAATGGTCATCCCCTGATCATCATCTGGAGGTAAATCCACCATGGCACTGGCAATCTTCGCAGAAGGCTGATCCCCAAATGGCTTCCAATTTCACAGATTATTTTTCAGCAAATTTCCCAATCCCACAATGCATGAGGTAAGAGCGATGGTTTCAACCACCTGGGATTCCCATCTGCGCACCTCACGCTGCCCAAGATCAACAAGGCAACCTGTGGACAGGGATGATGCATGATCAAGAGGGGATAAGGGGGCCAAAGACACATGAGAGTCCAGATGCTCATCTGATCACACTTTGTGCTTTCAAGTAGCGGTAGCAGCGGATGTCTCAGGGTAGGCACGTATCAGACCAACACCTGAGGCAACATGTCCAGTGTCAGCACCAGACTATTATTGTGGTTGCCCCAAGACAATTGCCACAATATCATGTTTTTTTAGAAGTGAAAGCAACCTTCGCGTTTGGATTTAAAATATCTGGACTGGAACACGACATGTGGTAATACCAAAATATATGTCAAATGAGGTACTACCTTGGCAAGCATCCCCAATATCATCTCACCATCACCCTCCTTGCTGGCCAGGCACTTCTGCGCAATGCAGCCGCTGCCAGCCACCACCAGTCTCTGGTGAACGCTGCCCCCAAACCCCTAACTCCCAACTCGCCACCCCCGGTGGCACATGGTATTGGACCCAGCCGTGTGGGATCAAATGCGGTTTTAAATCTACCCAAACATCTGATATTGGGAAAAAACATGATGAATCATAAACACAAAATGAAAGTGGATGTAAAAGATCAAACTCAATGCTTGGAGAAACAAATAAATCATATATATATATGTAATATATAGATAACATCACCAACCATCATAAACCCATATCTATGGCATCTAAAGAGTGTCAAAACCACTACCCAAATCCATTTCATACTGACCCTAATCCATTTCAATTCCTTCTATGTGTTTACACTCTCCTTCTACCATACCTCTTGAATTTTGATTCCCGTAAAGTTTCTTTCTGGCTCAAAAGAGCCGTTTTGGGAATCAAACTTTCTCTGTGTATACACTCTCCTTCTACCATACCTCTTGAAATTTGATTCCCGTAAAGCTTCTTTCTGGCTCAAAAGGGCCGTTTTGGGAATCAAAATTTCTATGTGTATACTGTATACACTATCCTTCAACCATACCTCTTGAAATTTGATTCCCGTAAAGCTGCTTTCTGGCTCGAAAGGGCCGTTTTGGGAATCAAATTCCTATGTGTATACATTCTCCACCTTTTGAAATTTGATTCCCGTAAAGCTGCTTTTCGGCTCCAAAGGGCCGTTTTGGGAATCAAACCTTCTATGTGTTTACACTCTCCTTCTACCATACCTTTTGAATTTTGATTTCCGTAAAGCTGCTTTTTGGCTCGAAAGAACTGTTTTGGGAATCAAATTTCCTGTGTGTATACTGTATACATTCTCCTTCTACCATGCCTCTGGAAAGTTGATTCCCGCAAAGCTGCTTTCCGGCTCAAAAGGGCCGTTTTGGGAATCAGATTTCCTATGTGTATATATTTTATGTAGATTTAAGAATGCCGTAACTTGCATGAATGAATGTCTTCCACGTGAGGTACGGTACGGTGGTACGGTACGGTGGTACGATAGTATGGTACATGCTTCGGAGGGTACGGTACGGTGGTACGGTACGGTGGTACGATAGTATGGTACATGCTTCGGAGGGTACGGTACGGTGGTACGGTACGGTGGTATGATAGTATGGTACATGCTTCGGATGGTACGGTACGATGGTACGGTACGGTGGCGCAGTGCATCTAGCAATCTTATGGAAGGTATGGCCCGGTGGTGAGGTATTGTCATGCATTTGACATATTGGTTCGGCCACGGCCTGGTATCTATGATTCATGATTCGCTGGTATCCAATGTTATTGTTGTAACTTATTGCAGGCTGACAATTTGACAGCTTATTCTACATCACTGAGTCACTGGATAACCTGTAATTCTTCAATGCTTCAACGTAGATGAGAGCCTGCAGCTTCCAAGCCCTTTTGAAAACCATGTCTGGAATGGTCCATGATGCCGAAGTGGAAGTCAGATCATCCATGTCTTTGACCTCAAAGGAATTGTTCACAAGCTTCATGCATAGCAACTGCACATCGAAGGCTTCATTGCGCATAGAGAGAAGCAACTCAATCAACTCAGTCGCATCGTTGCGCCGGTTCAAGCTTTTCTTCTTGGCATTCACCTTTGCAACGAAACCAGCAATCTCCTTCTGGGCCGTTTTGATTTTGTCAGTCAAGACTGACTCAGCAACCGTTGACACAATTTTGCTGAAGACTGACTTCTTCATTTGATCAAGGGAATCTTTGAACTCTTTCAGCATCATCTCATCTGAAGCTTTGGATTGATTTTGTTGAGTTCGAGGCTGCTTGGTAGGAGGCAACTGCATGATCTCAGTAGCATTTTCTTTACGTTTGTTGGTGCCAGCTCCAGTCTTATCCTTGTCTTTGGCCTTGGACTTGGTCTTGGCATCTCTCTTTGGCTGAGGTTTGGCAGCCGCTGGCTTCGCCGCAGCCTTGACTTTGGGCATAAGCCCAAAGGCAATGCTCAATGCGTCCAATGCATTCCCTTTTCCATTTGATGCAACGTTCTCGTTGTCGTCTGAACTGCCATCATCATCACTTCTGTGATCATCATCATGCATTGAAGTCATCGGAGCATCCATTGCATCACATGGGTCCACAGCACCATCCACACTCATAGCAGCAACTGTGGAAGCAGCTCCTGAACTCGATCCAGGAGGCATGAGAGACAAAGCAGGGCGTTTGCTTGATGAGAAGCTTCCAATCTTGAAGAAAGGTAGGTCCAACGCATCAATGGTGTCACTCTTTGAAGTCAATGCCTGAGAGGCAGTTGAGAGAATCTTGGAATGTTGATCACCATCACCCACAGAATTGTCATTGTCAAAAACCTGAACGTCGAGCTCTGTTTCCTTCTCAGTCGATCTGACTCGCTTGTAGTAGCCTTCTCTTCCGGTTCTGATGTTGACCTCAAAGAGTTTGATTTGCACATGGTTTCATTTATTGGTAGATAGACTGAAACAAAGTTGGAGAAAGATCAAATGGTTCACAAATTGAAACACCTTTGTGGCTGGCTAGATCAATGATCACCCTGAATTCATTCAAGTGACACCTTCAACCCACACATTGTTGATCTTCTCCCATGTTCTCTCTGACTCCTTCACTTCCTTTCCTGGGTTATCTCTCTGGTAGATGTCAAGCCGACAGAAGCATTCCTCAGGCTGTTCAAGTGAACTCTTCTCTCTGTTCTTGACCGACACAATGATCCGCGGACCAAGGGAAACATCTGAACGCATACGGAGCAAAGGGTTGCCACTCCGGAGCTCAATGTACTTGTTCCTCTGGGCCTGAGATAACAAAGCCAAGCTGAGTGCAATGAAGAAGCTCAGCTTTTGACAAAGCTCCTCAAATAGTAGTGCTATTTCCTTCATCATATCATTGTCACTCCCAATTGCTGCATTATCATACAACTATAATATACTGTAATCTGTAGTTTGTAGTATCATTTTATCAGCTTATGTTTCAACACCTTTTGATACTACTACCAAATTGTACTACTGGGATCACTACCGCACAACAATGCCGTACCACAGCACTACCGCACTGCACCACCATATTGCACCACCATACCGCACCACCGTACCACCACACCGTACTACCGTACCGCACCACCGTACCACCGTACCGCACCACCGTACCACCGTACCACCGTAACCGTACCACCGTACCGTACCACCGTACCACCGTACCGTACCAGCGTACCGTACCCAGTTAGTGATAGACAGCAGTAGACGGCAGTAGACGTCCCCAATCTACAGTAGTATTGGTGCATGTCTCTCCGTCTACTGCTGTCTATCACTAACTGGGTACGGTATGCTGGTACGGTACGGTGGTACGGTG